TAGGCAAGTTGGCGTGCCCCTTTTTGGAAAGTTGCTGATTCAATTCATAGGGGATGGAGCAGAAAGCATTACTGTGGCCTCAGGCACAAGTCAAATCTTCTGCCATCCCAAGGGTGAGAAACGCTGGCACTGCCTCTGTCTTTGGCAGTCAGGACTCTGCGTCTGTTTGTGACCCTGCTGGGCCGAGGAGTGAACACAGAGTCTTTAATACTCCAACATGTTCTTAAGACTATTTTCCTTTCTAAGTTATGACGAGAGAAATAAGAACTGTAGTGAGTCAATGTTTAACGTTTATCATGACTTGTCATTACCTTTTTAGATCAAGCAGGATAGCCCAGGGTGTGGATAGGGGCAGCAAAGCAGAGATCTATTAAGCAAATATCTCTATGAATGCTAGCAGCTGTGCAAATAAGTGGGCATGAGGTGGAGGGTTTGGCTAGGCAGAGCATCCAAGGTTCACAGGAAGGAAAGAAATCAACTTATTAAAGTGGGTTATAAAGTACACAAACCTTTAATGAGGTTAAAATATTCCCAGCCTAGCCGAATTTCATGGAGTCTCTCCAGGGCAGCTCTGTGGTTCTCAATCCAAGCTGTCTTTACAACTGAACTCTAAGTAGGTCTGGGCTGTGTTCTCTGTGTCATTTAAAAAATTTTGTGTGTCCAGGGGTAAGAATCACTGTGAAGACTAAATGTTGTCCGTTGGCATTCATCACCAACTCCCAGTGAGGATGACATCACAGGGCTGGAAAGGTCAACTCATGTCGGGGTTCATTATGATTTGTGGCCCCACATCTCAGAAGTTACATGAAGATACATGTTGTTTCACAGAGCTGTGCTGTTCTCAAACTTGAGAATCAGAGTCTCTTGCAGATTCTGTTGACTCAAGTTGCTGGGCCCACCCCCAGAGTTTGCTGGGCCCACCCCCAGTTTTCCATAGTTTTTGATTCATTAGGTCTAGGACCCCAAAACTAACATGTCTGGACAAGTTCCCAGGGGATACTGATACTGCAGATCTGGGAATCATACTTAGGAACCCCTTGTGAAGACCTAAGGACACAGGCCTTAGCTCTGAGAGGCTTTCTGGGAAGCAGACACAGGGTGAGTCTCAGAAGCAGAGGCTCTAGATCGAAGCCCTGGCCCTGCTGTAGTTCATTCAATGCTGTGTGGCCCAGGGTAGCCAGGTGACCTCTCTGAGCCAGTGTCTTCATCCATCATCTTGGGAAGGATGAGTGCTTTTCCTGTCCCAAGCAGTGGGATCATCAATGAGGTATTCAGCTACTACTCCGATTGGTGTACCAGGTACCAAGCATTCTCCATACATTATTCAATTAATTTTCTCAACATTTCTATGAAGTAGGCCATATCTTTATTATTTTACAGGCCCAGCAGTTAACAGTACCTTGTCAACGTGTTGTGTGAGAGACAGTTCTGGTTTACCCCAAACCCCATCTAACTCTTAGTGAGAAGCCCTATAAACACAGAGACTTGCTAAGGGCTTTTCTAAGTGGTGAGCAGCATTGCAATGTAAGGGCTACCTGGTGGGCGAATCACTCTGCGCCAGTGAGCAAACCCCAATTAATTCAAGTCTGGGCAGGTAGGGAGGGTTCCAAAAGAAAACACAACAAAACACATCAATCACTTTGTTGCACTGTTTGAGAAAGGGCCAGTCTGATAAGATGAAGGCACGGACTAGGAAGAAAAAGGAACCTCGCAAATAGCCGGCAGGAAGACCAGAGGGCTCTTTGACTGCCTGACCGTAAGCCCAGGAAACTCCGGCCTAGAAACCTGGCAACAGATCACAAACACTGCAGCTGGTTCATTAAGTCAAGGCGGCCATTTTGGGGAAAGGGCAGCTTTGAAGAAGGGGGAAAAAAATGCTCACAAGAGGGGAAAAATAACAACCATGTGGGATCTGAAATGGGTAAATGGGAAATTGTGAGTTCAGGAGTGACTCGGGGGCTTTCAGAGATCAGGAGCCCATAATCAAAGGTTTTGTTCCTCAAATCAGGAAGCCTCTGCAAGATCAGTATCTTCTAGTCACTGGGGACAAGATCAGAATTCAGGGGTGGGTGGGAGACATGATCTATCACTGAAGGTGTTACAGTGACTTTTGGAAGTCAGATTCAGCTTTATTCATCTATCAGATATCTTTGCCCAGACAAGCAAACATTTGGGTAGGAATACAATGAAGGAAAAAAGACTTAATACCAGAAACAATTTGGTGAAATTTCATGCCAATGTTTATGGGGGGGGGGGGAGAAGGGGTTACAACTACTACATGTAAGTATGAATACTGTATAGCAAATTTCTTTATAAAAAGGATTGTTGTGAGTAGTCAGATAAGGCAATCGATGTCTGAAAGGGGCTTTGAGGGCACTCATTACCTTCAAAGAAGTGGATTCTTATACATCTGAAAAAAGGCAAGTGAAAACATTGGGATAATCTTCTGAGTGAAGAGATGTGAAAAGTAACTTTACTTTGTAATTGCAATAATTACCACATATGAGTTTTATCAGGCATGGAAAAAAAAGGTAGACTATATGTATTCTCAGAGGTAAAATGCTCAGCTGATGGTGATGATGGTAGAAAAAACAAGGTGACCTTTAATGTGGCCAAGATCACCATGTGTTTAGCAAAATGTAACCCAAATGATCTATAAAGTGGTTTGCTCTGATCTAGTGGGTGTAAAGCAGAGAATTCCAGTCTTTGTAGTCACTTCTTACAACTAAGTCCAGTCAAGAGAGCAACAGTATTTAACTAGAACTTTAGAACTTAAAGGAGCCATGGAGCTAATCTAGTCTATGATCGTTTAGATGAGGAAACTGAGGCCTACAGAACTAAGTGGCTTGTCCAAGATCTTTTAACTAGTTAGACAATGCATTGCACACAAAATGGAAAACATTCGTTCATCCTTCATGAAACCTGATAAAGGTTACTTAAAACATATGGAGGATTTTCAGAACCTTTCAGGTCAGTGAAGTGGAAAGTTGACTAAATGTTTCTTAAAGATACCCCTTTGAACAGCTGTAAAAGACAAATCATTGAGATGGATAGACAGACACCTCACGACTAGTAAGATTTTCCAAGTGATCTTAAATAAATGATTCCTAATAAATCATATAGACAGGACTTCACAGTGAAGTCACAAATGAGTGTAGAACAGGCATAATGATGACAGCCCAAACATCTGTTGGTTTGGGAAGTAAATTTTCCTATTTTAGAACTGGCATTAATCATCAAGAGATGGAACCCTACAGTATTTCAGAGGGTTTTCATGTCCCCAACCAGAAGACCTGCCTCTCTGCTCTATGTTAATGAGAAGGGACAGACACCAGGCACTCTCTCTAGTTTCATATATACCTATGTCTCACCTGGCCACACACTAAACAGTGCAGAAGGTGACAGAGGACAGAGAGCGTTGGCACACTCCAGATGTGTTATCAGGGATAACTACACCTGCTCACTCTAACTTCCAGTCCTCAGGCCCGTGAGGCTTTGTCTAAGCCTTCCTGTGCTAGCTGATTTCGTAGGGGCTCCAAAGCCTACCCCAAGCCATTGCCTGCCTCCTCTGGCTCACTGTACCCCACAGACTTCTGTCCAGTAAGGGTTTGATCAGTGATCCTGCCAGATTCACATTTCACCTCCTGAGTCAGAAATTCAGCCTTTGTCTCTCTGCCCAGCCCAGGTCAGCACATCAGGGGTTTCTTCCAATCTTTATTAAAGTGGTGATTTTCACCTCCCATTTAAAATCCTTTCTGTGGTTCACATGGAATTTCACAGAGTTCTCCAAAATCTTAAATCTTCATTAGGACTATGTAAGAGAACAGCCTGGGTCAGAAGCCAGAAATAAAACTGTTGGCATTCATAAATACCAATTGAGTAAATATAAATCAATCAATAAACACATCCTGCTCCAAAGTGCAAAGAGCTGAGGTGAGGGAGCCAGTGAAGTGGAGGAGATGACCTTTTCTGTCTGGAAGGACAGGAGCGACATGGGCAAATGTCGAGAATCTGTCACAGAGAATTCTCTTCCTCTGCTCTCTGGGGCGATAAGATAAAGAAACTTTGAATGGCCAGAGTGTGATGGGTCTGCAACGAGAGGGCTTTTCTTTATTCCACAGCAAAAGTAACAGTGCCTAGTAAAGTCACTGGAAATTCTAGAAAAACAAGCAACCTGGAAGGGACTGATCCCAATAATGCTAAAAGTGAGTTAAAAAGTTTCATTCTGCTCAAATCTGAGAGAACTCAAGAACTATCTTAGGTTGTGGTAAACAGCAACTAAAGAACAGAAGATTCAGGTACTTGATGGTCATGCCTTTAAATTTTGCTCTAACTGTTTTATTTGTACTAGGTGTTTGCTCCTAAAGCACTGTTTTAGGGAAAAGTCCTGTTGAGCTCTAGTTGTGTGGGGAGCTGGCTGGTATTTGGCTGGGCTCACTATGAGGATGGGGAGTTGGGCTCTGTGGAGCCTGGGTCAGTCTCTCTGGTGACACCATGCACCCAGGTGTCCACACTCTTCCAGAACTGTTCTTACAGGAAGGTACAGTCAGGCCCCAGAAGCACCAGCTGAGGACACTCCACACAGGCCATATACTCGGAGGCGGAAGGGACAAGTATATGATGCAGACTCAAGTAGTGAGCGTGAGCTCCTTTCATCATAATCTTTTTAATACAGAATAGCGCTTTGGGTAATGTTTCTCCCTCTGAAATGAAAGCTTTGGATTTCAAATGGGGTTATTTGCCTTTTATCTGTGTTTTCTCTACTGTTCTATTTTCTGATCCATTACTTTCATCTTCCAAACCTGTCATTGTGACTCTTGTATCACTGTAACAATCACTCAAAAAGCTTTTTACTCTTCGGGTCAGAAATGTTTAATGTGAGCCAATTTCAATGATTTTATTTGTATTGACCTTATATTTGACAATCATGGAAGATGTACTGTGAAGTCGAGTGTTCAAAGGTAATGAGTACCTTTATTTGAATTCCACCCCCCCTTCAGATGAACACAACAGTTAAAGATTCCTGAGGGAGAGATAAAACACTGGAAAAGCTGCTAAGGACCCTGCGCAGGGCCCCTGAGGGACAAGGGCTGGAGAGATGGGACCAGAGAAGACAAAGAAGACAAATGCACACCCAAACCCAAAACAAGAGGAGACTTGCCTCGCTGCTTCCTAGTGAGAGAAGGAGCCTGGTTGACCCTGGTTTGCTGGTGCTAAGAGACTGGGTGCTGTAGCTTGAAGGTAAGCAGTGGGCAGGAAATTGATTCGACTGGGCTTTTGCAAGAGAAGGGTAAGAAGGAGTGGGCAAACGGACCAGGAATGATCAGAGCAGATTCTGAAAACTTGATTTGGCTTGGCTCGTAGATTCTTCCAGTGGCAAGAGCATTTTTAGTAAGGGTCTCTTTAAAAGATTTTAATCAGGGCCCTAGCCCTGGTGTCGCAACAGGTTAGGACACTGCAAGCTAGTCACAACTGCTTTGGTGCGAGTTCTATCTTTGGCCTGGGAGGTGACCCACATGGCGCCGCAGACCTCTCCTGCCCCTCCTGCTGCTCCCCTCAGCAGTGTACTTCATAAGTCATCCTGTTCTGCTCCCGGCTCTGTCTCTGGTGAAGCCTCTCATCCTCTGCACCTCTGGCCTGTACCCAGTTCTGTATGTATAAATAAATTAATATTTTAAAAGTTTTTTTTTTAATCAACTAGTTAAAATATTTATTGAACATCTACATGCTATGGGAACCTAGAACCTAAGTCTTAGATTCACATGGAAGGTTCTGATCTTCTAGCTTGCACTGTTGGCTGCCTGAGAGCAGTTGGTGAGAGGACAAGACAATAGAATGAGCATCAATATGACAGGCCATTGACCAGGAAAGGGGCAGGTGCTTTGTTGGGACACTTCCTTTATCCACCATAAGCTGGAGTGGGTTGATGAGGAGACTGAAGTTCAGAGAGCATTAGGACTTCCTTCGAGTTTGTTGTTGTTGGGGCCCAAACTCAAACTCAGGACTGTAGGCTAGAAAGTCACTGTCTTTGCATACTACCCTGGCCTTAGATTTGAATCCCTTCCACCCCAGTGCTTCTATGCAAAAATAAGCATAATTAAAAATAAAAAATATTTGAATCCTGGTTCCACCAGTTACTAGCTTGTGATCCAGAGCAGTTAGGTAAGCTCTCTGAGTCTTGGCTTCCTCATCGGATGAGTGGAGATCATAAGACAATGGGGAGATGAAAGGAAATGATTCATGTATGGGGTTCAGCACAACACCAGGCACTGTAAGTACCCAATAAGGCCAGCTGCAGAATTTGGAGATGAGGGAGGATCAAAAAACTCCCTCATAGGGGAGGCCATGCTTGAATCTGCCCTTAGAAAATGGAGGAGGCTTGGCCCTCCCTGGTGGCGCAGCGGGTTAAAGTGCAGCACTGCACGTGAGTCGCAGTTGCTGGCAGTGTGAGTTTGATCCCTGCCCCAGAGGTGCCCCACATGGTGTGGCAGACCTTTCCTGTCTCACTGGTGCTCCCCTCAGCAGTGTACTTCATCGATCTGTCTGTTCTGCTCCCCACTCTATCTCTGGTGAATCCTTTAACCACCCCTGGGCCTCTGGCCTGTACCCCAGTTCTAGATGAATAAATAAAGAAATCTTTAAAAAAAATGGAGGAGGCTTGATAGAAGTAAACGCAGAAGGAAAAAGAGGGGTGATTTGTACTTCAAAGATAGTGTGTTAGGAAGGAGTAATGGGTAGGGAGGGGTAGAGAGATGAAATAATAAGATGGAAAAAGGTTGGTGTCTGTTGGTTGAACTTACTTTCAGGACAAATAGTGTAGAGGGAGGGTGGTGTGGAGGACCTGGCTACCCATGGGGGGCAGGGGATGAGGCCAGACCACTGCAGGTCTCAAGGCAAAATGGGGTATAGGTAGCCTGGGAGGAGAGGTAAAGAATTTGGAGTTGAGTGCAGGTTTGTGTGGGGGGGGGGGGGGGGAAGGGGAGGTGCAAAAGGGAGAGAGAAGTGTAATAACCGAAGATGTAAGGGATGTGGGTATGGGTGTGTGTGTGTAGTGGGGTCATGTTTCTGGAACAGTTCCTACCCAGCTTGCACTGGATTAGAAACTGCAATTACTGGTTTTCCTGATTTTGCTCCACTCTTTCATTCACAAAACAAACTGGCACAGGGCCTGACAACATATATAGAAAAGAATCAGGAATCTCACTGGTTGCTGATCTTGGAGTGCTGCTAGCTCCTGACACCCAGCTTTGTCTGTTTTGGTTGTGAAGAGGTGCGGGCCCAAAACACTGGTCACTGCCCTTCTGTCCTTCCCTTGGTTCCTCAAGGTCCTGCTGAGATGTGAGTCTGCTAATCCTAGGCAGCTTATCCAGCCTCCATTTTCTTACCTACAGTTCTGTATTCCTAAAGCAAGGCCAGAACTGCCTGGTCATAGGAGCCAACCCTTTGAGGTACCTTTCACATCAATTAAGAGCATAAAGCTGGATTACCCTGGAAAGGGTCTGCATGATGAGGTATGACTGTCCTCAGCAGGGGCTGAGGACAGATGCATAAACTTACTCCTGACTTATACATCAGAGGGTATGACCAGGAATGCCCGGGGGGCTGTTGACTGATGTATAACGAAGGACCCCAGTAGCTGATCAGTAGACCGTCTTATTGATAAGACTGATACCCTGACTGGGGAGTCAGGGCTTGATCTACATACCAAGCTATCAGCAGATGAGAAGTACAGTTCCACTCTTCCCCTGCTTCTTCTACTTCTATTTCTCTAGTCTGTTTCCTCATATGACAAATGCTGTTTGACTGGTCTACCAATAAAAAGGCCAGGATCTTGCTCTTGAGCAGCACCCTGCATTATGTAGCCTGTTCCACGACTCCCATTTCTTTATCAGTATGGTGTTGCCCGACACAACAAGATGACTCAGTGGTGGTAGGCCCATGGGGATTCACATCCCAAAGAGCAGGGTCTGTCTTCTGCTCTTTGCCTTCAGTGGTTAAAGCTGCTGGCAGGCTGTGGGGAAGGAGCGCCCCCTAGGCAGGACCATCTCTGCAGCCTCTCCTCCATCACCTCACTGGGGAACCAGCCGCAGGCTCCCACCCCCTATAACAGCCAGGGGCCCTGGTGCTCCTTGCTCCGAGGGAAGGGGTCACAATCAACTTCTAGTCTCCCCCTACCATCTACCATGACTTCAAAAGCAAGGATGAATCTGCAGCGTTCTGGGAGCCACTTACTCATATAAGAATCATTCTAGAGCTTGTGCAAATGCTAATGAATGCCAAGAATAACTCCACGACCTGTCTCAGCAGGCAGGACCATGAGCAAAGCTGCGCTGGTCCTTGAAGGGGCTCTGCGGACCTGCCCCTTCTGCCTGGGCCTGCAGAGGCCAGAGCGCAGCCAGTGGGTTCCCTTCAGGAATCTGGAGCTGCCTCTGAGTCAGGCTGTGACCCTCCTACACACTCGGGGGAGGCCAAGAGCTGCCTGGCAGGTGAGAAAACCAAATTGGCAATTACCCTGCTCCACGAAGCCTTACGGAGCCTCACTTCTAAGGTCTGGCATCAGTTCAGCAAGCCCATTCCTTGCCCTGCCTGAGTTCTCTCCTCTCATGCTTAGAATTAATTTGTCTAGGTGGGAATGCAGAAGGGGAGGGACATTTATGTCTTTAGCTTTGGTCTAGCGTGCCCTCAGGGAAGAGGCATGTGTGTGTGCATATGTGTGTGTGTGTGTATGTGTCTCACCACTGGGATAGATCTAGACAAGGTGAAAGTGGACTAGTGGTACGAACTCTTCAAGTAGGACACAGATAGTCTTTATGATAAGACCATATGTGATGCTGTTTAGTGGAACAGAGCTGGAGCCAGGAGGACATCTTTCCCAGACCAAGATGATTGAATGATTGATTGATTCATTCATTCATTCAATCACATTAATTCACTTATCAACATCCATCTAACGCTCACAACAGACCATGGCTTGTGAACAGCCTGAATTATATTCAGCTTCTTTCTGCTTTCAATGTGCTCTCAATTCTATAGGAAAGATAGAAGTATGAAAAACAGATGAGAAAAAACATATAATAAGTACAAAAAGACACATGCAAGAAACAGGATGGGATTAACTCCGGGGCCGGTGGGGTGATACCGAGCATGTGCTTAGATGATGAGGGGGAGAAGCCCCATGGGTGGGTTGGGGGATGAGTGAGCAAAATGCAACTCAGGACTTCTAGGAGTGGGCCTGACTGGATAGTGGGAGACAGGTGTGACTGGGTGAATGGAGCCGGATGGAGCAGAGTTTTATGGGGAAGCTGGAATCTAGACCAGGGAGAGGAAACATCCATGAGTAAAATGCAGAGACCTGAAGGAGAATGCTGTCCTTTCCTCCACACACAGAGGGCAGACTCCTTGGGAATTAAAAATACGGGGTCTGCACTGACTGGGCTCAAAACCCAGCTCTATGAGCTGGGGGAACATTTGCCTCTCTTAGCATCAGTTTCCTTCTTGGTAATGGCTCTCAATAAATGTTAGGTTATTATTGTTTAGATTCCAGCTCATCTGTAAATGCTCCTAGTTTTTCCACTGAAGTGTTTCTTTCCCCGCCCTACAGCTGGAGACAAGCTTGTCTGGCCACTCTTGCCCCTGTAACCAGCCTGTGGACCAGCCCCGAACAGAGCCCCTTTAAATTCTATTCACGTCTTTGCTCCGAAGCCCTTGCTGTTCCTTATGGTGGAGAACATCCAATCTGGCCCACCATCTTCTTATGCATAAGAAAACAACCAAAAACTAAATGACTAGGCCTTACTCCAAAGCCACCGGCACTGGGTCCCGGATCCCCCACTCCTGCCACTGCTTCTTCCCCTCTAACAGGCTGCTTGATTCTCCAGCTCCCTATTCTTGTGCTGTATTATTTCCTGGCTCCAGAGCTTCTCCAAACACTCACTGGGAGACACTGGCAGGGAGGAAATGGGCCTGCCAGGGTTCTGTGACCTTGCCCATGACTAGCTGATGACCTTGAACAAGTCCTGCGGTCATCTAGAGCCTCCCAAAGACTGAGAGGGCTGCAACAGAGCTCCTGCAGTGGAAGTGAGGGTGGCAATGGGATTATAAGCTACAAGCAGGGCCTGGCAGAGTGTCTGGCCCACCGTAGAGAACACTGAAATGCTGAAGCCCCTTCTCGGGGCCAGGTGTGTCATCCCTGTCTCCAAAAGTTCAGCATAACTGCCTGTAACACTGCTTCCCTATGCCCT